TTTTCTATCGTTCAATTTAAAGTTATTCATCTCACCAGTATTTTTAACACTTTTGAAAAAAGCACTCTGGAAGTGCATTGTTCTAGGTGTAGTCTGGTTAGCACCCAGAAATAGGCATATGGTTTTCCAAATTCTGGCCCACATGTCATGTAGCTAAAGCCTGTATATTTGTTTCTTCTTAGGACCCTCCATATTATTAAAAGAAGTGAAATTCAGCCACTGTTTAGGGTACTGTTGGCTCTGTTCTAAAATCCTTAGATTTTAAAATTTGGCTCAGAGGCTCAGATCAGGTGATCAGGGGTAGAAGTTTCAGGCCTGTAGGAAGGGAGTGCAGGGAGAGAATGGAGAGTGGAGAAATGGAGCTACTTTGAGCGAGTCAAGACTTCACCTCTCAGACTCACTCATGAGCTTCATCTACTCAGCTCCAGCATGCGGTCAGCCTCAATGGACACAGCTTGACCTCAGATTGGTCCTGGTAGTCTTTGTTGGAGAAATTCTCATCTCTCTGTAGCAACAACATGCCAAGTTTATCACTTCTTCATTCATTCTGGTATTATTAAGTTTCTAATATGTATTCAAACTTTCAGGAAACCTAAAGAAGCAGTTAGCATGCTCATTTATTATTGGACTACATATCATAAAATGCCAGGTGGAATATAATTGAATGCCAAGATGTAATCTTTTGGAGAGTAAGCTAAATTTGAGTGTCATATCAAATGCTTCTCCGCCATCCTTTGCCAGTATGTTCCTTTCCTTCCTGGTTTCTTAGAATATTACAATCACCATATTCCTTAATGTTAGGAATGGCTAAACTTCTTTTCTTGGTAGCAAATGTGAACATAGCTTCATCTTTAGGAAAAAATTGTGCAAGAGTCATGTAGACTTTCATGGTCTAACACTTGCCTTGAGAAATTCTGAAAGTTTCATTTTGAGAGGTCAGCATCAAGAGATAGAGGAATCTATAGCATCCTGTATCCTTGAATGATTACAATGGCACTGCCCCAGTGTGGTTGCTGCATGACAATGTGCTTGTAGGAAATTCATAGGATGTGCTCATCATATACGTTAGGGAGCAGCCATGCATGAGTATCCCTGAAGGAAATGACATTCACCAGACCTTGGATTGTGAGCATAGTTCATTCCAGAAACATGCTTGTAATCCACAACACTTGTATATAAAAGCAGATTTCTCCATAAAAAATAATGAAAACTCAAATGATTCATTTCAGAACCCAAAAATATACATACGAAATGATTATAATGCTGTAATAGAATATAAAATAATAAAGAAAATACAAAATATAAGGAAAAATACAGAAATTAATTTGCACTTTGAAAACTTTTGTAGCTGGTGAGAAGGAGATGAGAGAGGAAGGGTTATTGTGTAGGACAACTTTCACTGTCAGTAACAGAGCTATTGCTACCTATTGGCTCAAAGGAATCTTTTTCTTTCTGTGCAGTTTTAACAAGGAATCTATCCAGTGACACTTGGTTTTGCCCTCTTTGAGGATTTCATGGAAATGTAACATTGCATTGTTGTTAAAAAGATATATCACTTGCACTGCCACAGCCTTTTTTATTTGGAAGGTGCTTTTCTGCAAAATTTTGCACTGTTTCCCACATTTTACACATCTCTGTAATCTCGTTTGAAGTGAGAGAGTCCCCTGCCTTTTTCTCCTCTTTCTCTGAAGACAAAATCTCCTCCATAACCTCTTGCTGTTGGTAAATGATCACCCATAATCCCACAGTGAGAAAGCAATGGAAAGAGAGCCAGAGAGAGCCAGCCAGGGAGAGAAAGGGAAAGAGAGAGGAGAACTACTGGCCAGTCATGGTCATGTGACTTTCAGAGTTATGTACCTCTGTGTGGTAAAACATTGCTTGTTTTTCAATTTAAAATTTTTTAGAAATGTTTGCTCATCTTGCAGAACACTCACAGAACAAGTTACTCATAATCCAAGGTTTCACTGGAATTGTTTTGGTGGACAGTACTGGAGTCTTGACCCTGATATTGGTGGTGTCAGTGTTTCTATTTTGTTAGACGAGCATTCCAAAATTTTCTCAGTAACTTTCTATATGTCTTCTCTGTGAAGAATTAGTAGAAGTTTGAAAGAATTGTAATGTTTACCGTGAAAATATAAATGCTCAATGTTAATGATCTTCTTGCTTATGTAGATTATCCATAAGAGGGAAAGATGTCGATCGAGTCAATTTTGTTTTACTTTTCTTAGATCAAATGTCCTTTACAAGTTATTTTGAGAATCAAATCGATCTTTTTCTTCTTTCATATGTATTGTCCTGTTTTTATAAGGTACATCGATTAAAGCTTTGTCTGAAATGTATACTTTTATACATTTTGATGAGGCAGGATACATCTCACAGTAAAGAAATCACAGAATTGGGAGAGGGAAGAGAACCTTGACAGTGAACATTTTATTCCTTTTTTGTGCAGGGAGAGAGAAGTTAAAAAAACTTAGCCAAAGTCTGAAGGAGTTGCAGAAATACTGCTGTTTTTGGATTGTAGAAATATTTAAGTGATGAAATTTTTTGTCCATTAAAACAGAAGTCCTTACAATCATGTTAGGAGAAATCTTTTAGCATGTTAAGGTGATGCCACTCATTTAAAATTTTAAATAGTAATGATAAGAAGCACTTTAACTGCCACTTGGAGATTTAGTACCTTCAGTATAGAAAGTGAGGAGAGCCTCTGAGGCCTTATTAGTGTTTTCTTGACCAAAACCACAACTTTTATCAGATAGATAAATGCTTTTTAAATGACCAGCATGGGCTGTGCCACCAAAAGTGGCTGCATATATCATCTTCCTTTGGATTTTCTAGCATGTTAGCAAATAATAGCTGTAAGCCAATACTCAACATATCACTAATTTCAGATATGGTTATTGTTTGGGTCTGCCTAGAACTATCCCAGGCAGAAGTGTGATCCAAAGAAAAATGACTAAGTGAAAAAGGCAGAATTGGTCAGCAAGTCATATCAGGCAGGTAGCAAGGGCTCAATAATAATTTGTTAAAATGTACTAGAGTTTACCTTAGAACTTGTTATATGGGAAATGGTGTATGGGACAGGGCAAAGCAATGGCTTATTGAATATACACTTTGCAAATTCACATAATATGAAAGGAAAAATGTACTTCAAGAACATGCAGAAACTTAAGGGAAATGGAGTGTTGTACCTGGAAGAGAATGCACAATGGAATAGAAGCAAGAGTGACAGCTGAAGACATTTATTGTTATATTGTATAAATTAGCTTAATTCTGCAATTAGTAGTTGAGTGGGCGAGCTTTCCTTTTTGTTTGAATTTGATAGACAGGTTTGCTCTTGAGTATAGCCGAGTAAGCATTATTTCCAAATATGTATTAAAAGAAAGGAAAACTTTTCCTTCCCTTTTCATTGGTGTCAGGAAAATCTATTTTGAGAATCACAAGAACTGGATTGTTTGAGCAATATGAAGGTTGTGTAAAGAGCACACTGATAAACTAATCAACAGCTATTCTCTTTTCTTCTGAATTTGCATGAAAATCAAATTTTCTCATCAGTGTACCATGTGAATTGAAAGAAAATCTGACTAGGAAGGGCAGTTCTGCTTAATTTTATAAGATATTACTTAGAGCATATGTACCTTCTACCCACTGAGATATTCTCAGATTTCTCTAGCATCCTTGACATACATTGTCAAGACACTGATATTTGATTATTTGGTGAAAAAGCATTTCTTCAGATAATGTGGATACACTGAAGAAAATAAAGCATAAAGGTTTCTAAACTATGTATCTGCATATTATATTTTGTTTTACAGAAAACACAGAATTTTCTATTAGACCAGTTCCATGCATGAAGACACACCATGTAAATGTCACTGCACAAATTCACCAAGGACATGTTGAGGTGGTACATAGCGGTTGCCAGGTCTGCATTAGGCAGAGTGACAGGTTTTGGAGAAATGACATTGACTCTGGCATGGCCTTAGAGCCTAGTGTTGCAGGCTCCTTCTTGATCAGTTTTTCTCTGCTCAGAAATATGATGAACACTGCTCTAGGAAACATTGCCCCCAAAATTTTTAAGTTGGAGAATTTCAGTGGTACTGAAAGTTATTTCAGTTATGTTTCAGAAAATAGTTTCATGCTGCCCCATGTTGTATCTTTATAGTCTTCATTCTAAATAAGCAAAACATTTAATATAGCTCAAGTGAATAGCTACATTTTGTAAAATCTTTTAGTAAATCTTTTAATAAATACAAATAACTACATATGAAGTCATAATAATTCTAGAAACTGTAGGGCAAAGTTAGTAGTATGGAAGCTTTCAGTTTATTAGGTCTAATAAAATATAATTGTTCTAGTTCTTAAATAATCAGATGGCAAAAGAAATTATAATAAGAAATACATATATAATACAGTTAAAATACTTAAAAAATAGATATTCATCATTTTATGCTGTGTCAGGCTTTGGATGATTTTAGATTATTCCTTTATTACATAAATATTTTGTATAAATAGCTATATCAACATATATATGTTCATACACATATATTTATATTCCTATATATGTATGCATGTATAGCAGGTAAAAGCTAAATGCTAATTTTATGTATCTCAATAATTAGATGCATTTATGCATGCTTATATAACATTGATTATATAATTTATGCATTAAATTTAATTACATATGTGCATTTATGTATACATATATAATTAGTTGTGTTTGTACTTATATGTGAGTGTGCCTGTATAAAGTTATTATATAGTTATATATAATTATTACATTTGAAAATTAGAGATATGTATGTCTTACCTTTCCATGTTGCGAAAAACCTATCATGGCTTTGTGTGAACTGCTGATGTTTGGTGGCTGTTATGGTCTATTAATAAGATCACATCACCAAGCTGCTAACAGGGACTACGTTTGTGACAAAAAAAATTCTCTTGTGCAGAATATGGCTTTTCTTATTTGAATACATTTAAACAGGGCTCAGCTGACAACTTACCTTATGCATGAAATCTTACACTGCACACTTTGTCTTTTGTGGTGGCTGTTGGTGTTACGCCATTTAAAAATATTAAGAACATAAAATTATGTCTCCATAGCTTCAATAAGGTCCTGCAGAGAAAAAGAATTGGGCAATTCATCCCGAATATAAAGTGATGCAGCAGTTCAGTAGTACACGCGGAGCCAGGGTACCTGGAGCCTAGGACGGGCTTAGCCCCTCAAAGCTGTATGACTGGGGCTAGGGAAAAAGCTCAGGGCACAGCGTCTGCACGACAAGCGCAAGGTCCTGAGTTTGGTTCCTGGTATTCCCTCAAAATATGTATGACTGTTTATGCCAATTCACTCAGAGACACCAGAATACTAATTTGCCAGCACACAAATAACTGAATTTTTCCCCTCCTGCTAACTATTGTACAACCAACTAAGTATATCCCTAATGTGCTATATAGATTCCCAACATCTATTAAGAGAGACTTCAAAGAGAAAAATTGCTTTCTTAGCAATAGAGAGATATTCTACAGCTTTTCCACTGGAGGTGCAAAGGTAATGGAGTGTGAAAATGAGTGGTATCTCAGCACAATTCAGGCTAGTGGCAGCACTGCTTTTTTTTTTTTTTTTTTGGTACCACGAATCGAACGCGGGACCTTGCGCTTGCCAGGCGGGTGTTTGTGCCACTGAACTATGTCCCCAGTTTAACACTGAGTTTTTCAAGACTGCACATTCACAGCAGTTTTCAAAAGTGCTGATTTCACTTGAAAATATTTTTGATGAAGTATTGAAAATTATTGATTTTTTTTAAAATTAAATCTCTGCCCTTCAGCATCTTTTAAAATATCCCAGCCATGATATGATGTCTGATAGTTTCTCAAGGAGGAACAGTTGGGTCTTGTTGAAATGTGAGCCGAAATACATCTTCCTCTGTTCTACCTAAAAAAAATGACTGGCAGATACACTACAGATTCAGATTTAGATACGTGGTAAGAGTTTCCTCAGCAATGAATAATGTGAGCTTGTCAATTTAAAGAAACCAAAGGCTAGGGTTTTAGTCAATGATAAAGTCAGAGGCTTCAAATAACAATAATTGTGTTCACCTGTGAGTTTTCCACTTTCACCATGTATAATTTACTGATGAGATGGGGATGATATTAACCAAGGTGACATTTTGATAGTATGTATTAATTTAAAATACAGAAGATCTGTGTAATCTTTAGAAACTGCTATTAATTGAGTTTTACTGTAGTACCAAAGAAGTATCAATGACCAGAATCAGCTTGGGAAATAGTCCATTATTTTACACATATACATACATGAGGTTAGATTTTTTTCTAAACACTGTATATACATTTTTATATACTTTACCAATCTCATGAGGAGAGATTGAATACATAATCATATGTAAGACTCCAGCTGTATTCTTTTAAAGCAGACAATGAAGTAACTTGCAAAAATATTCTTGTAATGTTTTTGGAACAATGGGACAGGTAATTCATGGAAGTATATTTTAATCATACACTAATTTAATTCATTTATACTATAGTTTATCTTAGTTCATTAAAAAGAAAGTTTTGTATTCTTACCTGTTTTTTCTTTGTAAGAATCTTTTTGTCTATACCTTATACTCTACTTTGAAAATGATACATAGTGTAGTGGCTATTGTTTTTTTTATTATTTTGTTATGAAATTTTGTTTTAGTTTTTCACAAAAATATTTTTGAAATACTTGCAGTAATACTTTTCACATTTTTGTTTTCAAAAATTTATTATAAAATGCTTTCTTGTATTAACATATAATGGTATGATTATTGTTTACAAGATTTTATAAAATAAGCCAGTTACAGTAACAGATGTCTGAAATCTCAGCTACTGAGATAGCTGAGGCAGGAGGATCTCCTGTTCCAGGCAACCTGGGAAATTTAGTGAGACCCTGTCTCGTAATAATATAAAGGGCTAGAAGTATAGATCAGTAGTGTAGAGCACTTGCTCAGTAAACACTAGACACTGGGTTCAGTCCTCACTACTGCAAAAAAGATAAAAGAAAGTTTTCATTAAAAATTGCAAATATCTATGGTCTTGGTATTAAAGAAAAGCACTTTGACATCTTGAGAAATTTTTAAGTGTCTAAAAGTGTTCCAGGGTCTACAAGTTTGAGAACCACTGATATAGCCTATTCTGGCAGTTTACCTTCTCTCGAATCTTCCACCTTGTCTGTTTAGAGTCACCGCGTCCCATGCTGATCACAGTTGCCAGGGCCTGCAAGGATTACCCTGAATCCAGGACAAGGATTCCGCACCTGCTGGACCCCAAAGGACAAGGTGTGGTTCTGATTGGATGACGATTGGATGACGTTCTCCTCTATGCCTAGTAAGGGAAGGCCACGCCCTTCATTCTTCCCCTGAGACCTGGCTTAGGAAACGCTGCCCCTCAGGCTGACCTCCCTGAAAGTCTTTCGGGCTGGTATGCAGAGGGCTATTCTCTTGCCAGCCAAACTGGATATGTTCTAGAGTTTATACCGTTTCCGTCTCTGGAGGAGTCCCAAACAAAACCCAAGCCAACCAAATATAACGCAGCGAAGTGTCCCGCCAACCAAAAGGATGCTGGCTCCTCCCCGGGTTGGAAGACAGAACAGCCTTGTCTGAAAGGTTTTCACCTTCAACCTGGACACCTAGGCATTATCATCCTTTCACCGAATGAATGTTAACGGACGAAGAGAAAACACTGCTTTTAAGCCTGGACTGTAAAATATACAGCTCTTTCCTTGCCCCCGGATGAACTCACGTTCGCCTTAGAGTTTTGTTCAGTTGCATTTAGACAATAAAGAGCTGAAATAAAACTCGAGCGAACAGTCTCACTCCAATTATTAAAATATCCAGACAAGACAATGATAATCAAATCTAAGATTAGAAATTAGTGCTTCTTTCTACTTGGCTCTGGCTTGAAAGTGCTAATAGAAAAGCCCCCTCCCCTTTTCTCCCTCTTTGTCTGTCTGCGTGTCTTTCCTTTCTCCCTTCTTCACTCCCTCTGTTCAGAACCTCATTCTCTCTGCTACTAGCTCAGGCCCCCAAGGCCAGGCTCTCCCTTGCCCTTATCCTGCTGACTTGCCTGTGAAAGTCAGTCTGATCTGTAGGTGGCAGAACTGTGTGTAGCTTGCTGAGATATGGAAGCGCCTCTGAGCTCAGTAACTCAGCTACCCTCCATTTCCCAATCTAGCAGGTACCATTTTTCCCTTTCCATTTCCCCCACGATTCTCACATTTCGACCATGTGGTGATTAAGAGATAATTTTTAGCGCCATAGGGCTCCAGAATCCTGTTCCAGTCTCTATCAACGTCAACACAGTAGGAGTTGTTAAACATGTTGAAGATCATTACAAAACCAATCTCTACTCCCAAGCTGCCAGGGACATACATACACTTAGTGCTTTTGCGGTCCCTTAGACCCCATTTGGCTGGTTGCCCACACTTCGCAGCCAGCTCTATCCCACTGTCTGTCCTCTTTGTTCCTGTGGATGGTGGAGTGGGATTCCCAGGGCTAACAGAACTGTGCTGGGATGCACCTTGTCGAATAATCTGCAGACCCTCAGCAAAGTGTTTGCTTTTGAAAGGGAGGGTACTTGACAATGTTTTATATCATGTTTTGGGGGCTCAGTTTGATCATTAAAATCAATCTCATTTTTAACAGTGTCATGTTCTTTTTAGGATGAACCCAATCTATCAAAAGAATCTATATAATTAATAATTGCATTTTTGGTTGGAAGGTAATAATAGCTTCCACTATATAGGACTAATGCAAATAAATAAAAGGTGGTTTATGAGGGAAATTATTACAGGACTAATGAACAAGCTGGAATAATTTAGAAATAGTTTGGGAGTTAATGTGAATGTCTGTTTCCATGACTATTCATACATGTGTGCAGTTATATATATGTATATATGTGTGCATGTGAGTGGGCATAGAACATGACACATTAAAGCATATTTGGCACATTAAAACATATATGTACAGAAATGGTGGTTTCTATCATCATGAATATAAAAATCAGAAACAAAAATCTGTGGATTTAGCAAGAAATTGGAAGGTTATTTATTGGAAAACCAACTGAAGGGAAAGTATTGGAAATAAAGCAAAATGTACCCTTTAGTTTGCAAATATAAATAAAGAAAATTGCTTCATTTAGCCAAATTTTAAACGCCATTATTTTGAAACATTAAAGATCTCATGATTTAAAATTTCCTGCCCTCAGCTTTCCATCTCTAATCTGTCATCTTCTTCCTGAAATTGCATGACACCACTCAGTAATTTATATTCACCGATCTAAAGTGAAAACCTTATCACGCCAGGCAGGAGAAGAAAAATGAGTCTGATTATACTTCTGAGAAAGTGCCAAACGCCTGATCAGCATAAAGAGATGGACAGAGAAGGATCTAATTGTTACCCTAATGCATTTTGAAATATTAGTAGGTCAAAGATGAAGACAGGGAGATAACTCAGAACAGAGAACCTAATAAGCTTGTTAATATATCTCAAATAAGCACAAGAGGAATGGGACGGATTTGGAAAATATTGATGTGTTTTTACTGAGGGCTCTTGGAGGCTTGTAGTGCTGTCTTCGTGATTCAGCACCTCTGTCTCAAGACAGAAGGATCCTATGTTGCTAGGTCAACGGATGCTGACTGTTTGAGGTCCCTCCGCTCACTGAGATGAAGCCCAACCTTTGGACTTCATGCAGTCATACAGCTACTCACGAATTCTGGTTATTTAATACATAGGCATTCTTCTATCTCAAATGTCAGTGATAAGTTTGGAACTATTTTAAATGTGAAACTAATAGATTAGAAGTGGTTGAAGGTTTATTTAGATGGTGGCAGGTTTATTAACTATATCAAGATCTATCACAAGACCAGTATTACAGAAGGACCTGGATTCTGCCTACATTTTTATACATAAATTATCCTACAATGAAAATGGTAGAGATGAAGGAATAGTTAAAAATAACTCATTAATTTATCCTTAAAAATGTTATTGCTGCTTAACTTGATATTATAAATTAACTTAAATATTCATTTTGTTTTTAAAGCCAAAAGTGCTCTGAAGAAATATTGGGAAAATTGAGAACTGTGATTGTGTTCAAAAGATGGCAACTCAAAATTGAAAACAAATATTCTACTTGAGAATATTATAGAAGTTTATAAAGCAGATAACTTGAATTTCCGAAACCAGCACATGCTTAGTCATTTGTTATGTGAATTTGTTGACAAAATATTTTCTTACTCTATTACCGTCTGTAATCACTTGATTATTTTAGTATCCACATACCCAGTATCTATTAATTCGTGTGTTCCTGGAAGGAACATCATAGGCACCACCTTAAATTACATTTTCAACATCTTATCTCCATTAAAACATTAGATTATAAGGCAACTCTTTGAATCGTTTTCATTTTTATTACTTTTCTAGCTTTGATAATATGTCCCTACATATATAAGGGAGCAGAGGGTGTGGGTGGAGTGTGAGAATTGTCAGGTATCTCCATAAAAACATCCGGATAAAAAAGAGGTGAAGATACAGGTCTTAAATATATTCATGGAAGTCTCCTGTCAACCAAAGGAATTGGGATTTCTGCAAGGCTGACTCAGCAGGGCTCGCCCCACCCAAACCCACACCCTTCCCAGGGGTCCTCCTTATTTCTCAGTCTTGGTGATATTCATCTTACTCTCACACTTCCCCACCCTTGCCATGTGATTGTCTCCCTACTCACACTCTTTGTGTCTCTCTTCACTCATACTTTTTAGTAGGCTCTCTGCTATTCCCTTTTAGTAAGCTTTCTACTATGGCATTTGGAGCCAAATTTAGAAATAAAGCAAATTCTCTCCATTCCTTATTTGTCCTTGTTCAAATTCTCCTTTTATCTACACAGTTTCACTAACATTTTCTGTCTCCATTCTATTGTCTTGATTTGAACCCGTCCCCCTCACTGCTGCCCTCCCCATCAGAATCTAGTCTGGGAAAAGCTGTCTGGCAGTAATTGTTCACCTCATTCTCTCCCAATTTTCTTATGGTTTATCTGAAAGCATTTTTTTGAAGTGACAAGAAAAAAGATATGGCATACTATTGTGAAAACCTTTCTCTAAGACAATGTCTATCGTTTATTTGAAGTGATGTACTGATACCTAAACTGACCCAACACATGCATTTCTAGGAATTCATCCAATGACTTAAACACCTCTGCCCACACAAAAATGATAGCTCTAGTTCTATTCATAGTCACCAAAACCTGAAAGGACTCAAGATGTCTTTGAAAAAGTTAGACAGAGAAACAAACTGATATCTCCATAGAAGAGAATACTACATAGCAATAAAGATACACACTATCAGTTCATGTGAAGATACAAAGGAATCTCGAGTGAATATTGTTAAGTGAAAGAAATGGGTCTCAGAAGGTTACCTACTGTATGATTCCATTCATATGACTTTCTGGAGAAGGAAAAACACAATTGGAAGAGAAGGCAGGTGTGAAGCGGGTGACAGGTTAGTTAGATAAAGCACAGTGTATTTTTTAAACCTATTCTTGTAAGACTGCAGTGGTGAATATGTGGCACTATTCATTTGTGAAATAGAATTTTAGAGCAGAGCAAATGTGCGAAATTTCACAATCTAACCTCATGGAAATATGACCTCTTTGAAAAAGGCATGGATAAGGAGATGCTAATTTAAATGACTTTGCAACTGACTAAAAATTAAGGGTAATGACAAATTACCATATTTACTTGTTCATAGGCATTGTACTGTGGTTGAAAACGTTGTTCCTCATAGGCGTGTGGCTTCATGATTCTGTATATGCCCGCTGAGGTTAAATAAATAAGCTAGTGGGTCGCAGGGGATGGGAAGTAGTTGAAAAACTGGGAATGGGGATTAATTCATGGTACATTACACAGACAAGAGGCTACTAGCTTGCAGCCATCTCTGAACTTTGAGCTGCTGTGCAATAAAATGTGACTAATTAGGAATAGAGTTTTGTACCTAGCATCCTGTCACAAGTAGCCCAGCTTCAACCAATCACAGGTAGCCTAGCTTCAACCAATCACTGGCAGCCAACTGATCAGACTGTGTGTCCAAATAGCAACACCTTACCCATAACCCACCAGGCTGCTTCTACACTTGTGCATTCAGCCTGTGAAACCTCTCTGCCCACACAGGATAGCAGAGGCGTTTGAACCCCTTTTAATTTATAGTGTTGCCCAATTCATGAGTCATTCTTTGCTCAAATAAATTCTGTTAAATTTGTCTAATGGTTTTATTCATCTCATATGAGCAAAGGGAGAAAGCTGGAAGGAGCCACGTCATTTTGCATTAAGTTGGAGACATCGGTATGAACTCATGTGTTCAGTGATGGGTACACGGGGAGATGATTATGAATGATGTATAGCTGTGGGCTGCCCTATGTTTCTTAGCTAGCTATGTTCTGAGCAGGCCCTAAAGCAATGATACCCCAGTTGTAGCAAGTGCACCCAACATCATCCAGATGGTGGTTTTCTTTGCATGAACTCCTCGCCCTCCTCAGGTTATGTCAGATTCTTCATGCACTTCTCTTTTATTTTTTTCTAAATTAATATACAAGAATTGGACATATTTGAAGGGCACGATATATTTCTGTCACATGTATACAAACTTTACTGATCAAATATGGGTAATGAGCATTTGTATCTCCTCTTCATTTCATTATGTTTGGAGTTCGTGTCTTCCAGTTCATCATAGAATGTATAATAGGTGACTGTGGACTGTACGTATTAGGAAACTAGAGCTTGCTCTTCTGGTCTCTCCATGTTTGGGTACTTGTTA